GAGCTGCAGATTCAGTGCTGTCCTCTGAAATTAATTCTTTGGGGGGGGAGGGGGGCAGGTGTCCACGTAGTTGGAGGCTGGCCCCTCAGACCTCTCCATTGGTTCCCTACTCCATGCCGGCATGTTGTATTCATCTTGGAGCACTGGGTAAAATATTTATTTCTAATGACAAACAAATGAAATTTTGTCTTGAAGCATGGTGTAGCATGGGTACACCTACACGCCGTAGGTGGGTGAGGGGTGAGGAGGGCCCCCAACAAATCATCACAGGTCCGGTAGGCACAATTATACAGTGATAATAATTTAAAAGTATAGTAAAGTCATAGAGAACATGAGAGATAGAGGAGAGATTGAATTAATGGAGTCAGACACAATTCATGGTAGCATGCTCACCTCAGCCTTGCGTGGTGGTCCTTGTGGGGAGAACCCCGGGAGCGAGAGCAGGAGAGAGCCCCAACTTTATTGCTAACCAGGGGTTATATCTCATTAGGGGACATGATTACAGGTAACCACACGTCACAGGAAGGGGCAGTATAATAGGCATACACATCATAGGAAGGGGATAAGCCAGGGGTGTGCCATAGGAATGGGAGGGACTAGGGGTATACATGTGACAAAATAGGTGGACCCTAGATTCATGATCACAGCCTAACCTTGGTCATTCTTGGGCGGGTTTGACCTCTCTGGGGTCTCCTACAAGGAAACAGATAGCTACTATCCTTATCAGAAGGGAGTGGGCCCTATTTGTTGTGGGATAAACTAGTGTCTGCTTGGTCTAGATGGCTGATAACTCTTAGGGAGAATAACCCTGACCTATTTATTTCTGATAACCTCCAAGTGTATAGTCATTCGCACAACTAAGTTTGGCATATATTTGGGGGGCACAACTTGAGAGAAATCCTTTTGTTTCCCACAGGTGGGCATATGGGCTGACCCACCTGGAGACAGAGGATCGGTGTCTCGGTTCTAAGACCATCGGAAATATGTGTTTTCCGATGTTCTTAGGCGACCCCTGTGCAAGGGTCATTCGACCCCTAAAGGTGTCAGGACCCACAGATTGAGAACTACTGCCTTAATGGTTCTTTGGTCCTGAACATAATGTGGATCCATTGTTTGTTAAGGAGGTGATTTTTGGAGAGCACTTTTCTGTTGCAAATACTATCCAGAAAGAGCTGGTGTTCTTTAAAAGTCTTCATTCGGAGCACATATCCCCGTTCGCTCAAGACTAGATTTGAAATGAGCAACTCCGAGATAGTTGTTCGTTTGAAAAAACTGTTCATGAATCTAGTCGTTAGAAAGATTAACATTGGATTTAGAGCATAGACTTGAATTTTCAATGACCTCTTGAACTCTTTCAGTAGTTAAAGCAACCTATATACAGCAGAGAAATTCAGACTATATACATTACCTATTTGTTTTCTGTGTCTATATGTGTACTTTTTTTATATGTATTTTTTTAAGCCCTAGGACTGAAACTCTGGCCAAGATGCTTAGAGTTGATTTAGTTGGAGATATTTTCAGTGCAGAAAAGCAGGTGAAGGGAGGAGTCTGCTGGGATCTTCTCCTCCCTTGGAAAGACAAAGTCAAATGGTAGATTAAGTGCATATATAGATATCTTTGGATGTATGTGTACATGGTAAGTGATATCAAATGTCTTTCTCTTTTCCCCTCTCTGTAGCCCTATGATGTCAACTTACAAGTCACCTCGGTCTTATCTAGACTCTCTCTCTTCCCCCACCCACACGTTCACGAATACCTTTTGGATCCCTACGTGAACCTTGCTTCTGGCTGTAGATCTCTCTTCTCTGTCATCGTCAGGGTGAGTTCTTAGTGCTACCCTCGCCCCCAGGCTGGATAAGCCTGTCCAGTGGACAGGTTCCAATCACTGTAGGCAGATGTGCCACATAATGAAAAATATATCTACTGCTTAAAAGTAATTATTCATTATGCGCTAGTTTGCCAAATGTGAAAAAGAGAACAAGATACACAAGGACTAGGTACTCATCCTTGGGGAGAGACATTTAGACAGAGAATGGCAGTTGACATTGTGTACATAGTACTAGAAGTTTCTCTGTCCTGAGAAGCTTTACGATTTCAGTTGTTCCTTTTGTCTCTAATACTCAGGTGGTTGGAGACCTGATGGTTCGAATCCAGCGCATTCAAGACTTTACTCCCAAACTTCTGTTGGTCAGAAAACGTTTACTTGGTCTGGAACCTGAAGGTCCCATGTAAGTCCATTTCCAGCCTTCAAATCGAACGACAATGTAAAGATCTGCTGATGCCTGACCTGATGTCCCGTTTGCTTTTCCTTGGCCAGCATCGACCACATCACCTTGCTTGAGGGCGTGATCGTGTTAGAAGAATTCTGCAAGGAGCTGGCAGCCATTGCCTTTGTGAAGTACCACGCTTCCTCCACACCCTAAGCCGCGCCATTGGAGCAACTCGAGGGACAGAACTGTTGCACATGGATTTCCTCAGAACCGGCTCTATCCCACCCAGCTCAGCGGGGACTTAAAGGCTTTTTTAAATGAAGCATTGCTGTCAACTGGACGGAACCATTAAGAACCGACTGAATGGACATTCTTAGTGGTAGAATGTTTTCATTGGCTCTATCTTAATGGTTCTCGATATACTACAATTGCACGTCATTGAGTCCAGGATCCAATCAAAGGAACTTCAGGAAATAAGCATTTCTAATGACTGTGTGAAAAGCTGCAAAATTTCTGATGTCATGACTTTGATATTTCTGTTATTTTAATATCTTTTAGGTAGCAAGGCATTTTGACATTCTCTGGGACTCAGATGCTTATATTGTTTTGGATTATGAGTCGCCAAAAAAAAAAATCACTAATTTTATAACCTTTTTCAGGTCAGAATTCTTATCAAACAGACTATGAGGAGAAATTATAGATTACAAAAAGAGACAGTTCAGGAACCATCAAATAAAATGACTTCCTCATAGGAGCTGATCATTCAAGACAAAAGTGTGTAGCGCACCATTAACTTCAGCTTTTCTAAGAATAGCAATTTAATATGATAAATTCTTGATTAATATAATATATATATATATATTTTTAAAGCGTTCTTTTCCTCTTGTGTCCACCACCGTGTTAGTGATTGATTTTCATGTGGGTCCCAGCTTATGTAAACTATCATTCTTGCCACAGTGTTGAATTTATGTTCAGCACCAGTAGTGTTTGCTAAAAGACTCAAACCCCTCACTGTCATTGTTGCTTCCAACTTAGCTACCCTGTCATGACAGAGTCCAGCTGCCTGGGAGGGTTTCCAAGGCCACAAATCCTGAGGGAAGCAGTTGGCCACCCCTTTCCCCTGTGGTTCAGCTGATGGGTTCCATTCGAACCACTGACCTTTCAGTTCTCGGCCGAGTGAGCACTTTAACCACTGCACCACTGGGGCTCCTCTTTGATCGAGTATCTCGTACAGCTGATTAGCATGTATGGAGGTGAGAACCTACCTTTTCCCCTCTTGCTCGCTCTCTCTGAAAGTCGCTTTATAAGTTGCTTTAGGACTTGATTTCAGATGAAAACCTATGGTAGTGCCTAAGCAAGGGACTGGCTGGTAAGCTTAGGCAACAATCAAAATGCCAGGGCCTCCCGAATGTTTACATTGCTCTTCCTGTGCCCGGTCATTTGTTTCAAATGATCCTAAAAGAGAGAAACAAAACGAGCACCAGTCTTGTAAATGCCCTGTTTACATATTAACGGATTTTGGTAAATTGGGTCTCGATGTGAGTGGATCTTGGTGGGGGAGGGTGCGTGTGTGGGTCGGTTAGCAAAGGCGTGCTGGGCACAGCCTGCGAAGGGTGACTGACCAACGTGGTGTCTGCTGGGTCATTGCTTAGTCTGTGTTTCAGTGACGCTCATCACTCAAGTATTGCTTGTATACTCTCTCACTTTTTTTCTTTAAGTTGAACTTTTAAGCAGCAGCACTTTCTTTCCACACCGGTCTCTGAGGGAGGAGGAGACCGAACTCTCCATCTTGAGAAGACCGGCCTGCCTCCAAAGCCACTTCCGGTCACCCGTGTCCTCCGCCCAGAGGCGAGGTGGTTGACGGCTGCTCGTCCTGCTGTGCACGATTGGCTTCGTCCTTCAGAACAAGGATCAAAGAGCACGAGCCTTCTCCGCTCTGGAGAAACACCACAAAGAGCCTCAGTGTTTAATGAGCTGCAAATCCCTCTTCGCATCTCCTACGACATGCCTGCAGCAAGACCATGAAAAACAAAGCGTGCCATGGTTACTGCTTGCGTGCTTTTGACTTGATTTTCCTGCTGGGAAAGCATACTTCTGTTTGCCGTGTCTGTCCATCCGGTCGTCCGTGCATGCAAAGCACTAGCTCCTACAGCATCTCCACGCTCGGAGGTGGACGCAGCTGGAGGTGTGTCTGAAACCAGGCATGAAGAGAAGGGAGATGCCATCAGGGGTTCACGGCATGGGCAGGAGGGGTGACGGCAGTGACTCGCCCTCTCACACCAAAAATACATTTCATCCCGATTTCCAGGGGGACCCGGGAGCGAGTCGTGGCACTACGCCCAGAAAGCTTTAACCCGTGTATTTTGGGGGTGCGTGCTGCTTCTAAAATCATAACTAAGTTATTTCTGATGACTTTGCTTTTAATCAGCTAAAACTTTAAGGTATAAGTATTTTAGAAATAATGGTGTCTCTTAAAGAGTATCTTATGGACATCCCCAATCTCCCACCTCCCTTCCCTCCCACCCCAATTATTTAGTTCAGACCTAGAGCCAGCACAAGTTCTCCTAGCGAACTGGATTTGTTGGTGAAACATTGTTCCACCTCACCCGTTCTTGTCTTCACGTCTCTGGGGCCCGAAGATGTACAAGACTCAGTGCTCGCACACTGTGACCAAAATGTGCTGCGCGTGGTGGGGTGGAAGATACCCCCTCGCCACTTCCAGTTGTTAGGATAGCAAGTTCCAAACGGAAGTCAGTCTCACTTCATAGTTGTATAAATCTGGATGCACATTTTTTGTTTTTCTCCTTAATTTTTCTCCCAGTCTTTGGGTTTATGCTTAATAATGAGCCACCTGCTTGGCGGAACCGGATCTGTCCTTAGCTGATTGTCACAGTAGTTAGTGCTCACGGCGTCACTATGTCACCTTCTCACGGAGTCTCTGCCTGTGCAATATAGAAGCTATGCGTGGACTCATAGCTTTTTGGTTGGGGGTGGGTTGTGGGTTTTTTTGTACATTGTGTGTGTACATATATGTGTATATGTATATATCTCTATATATAAGGACCAAAATCCTTAGCTTGCTTACACTGCTGCTAGTGTAAAGATTGTTACACTTCATTTTACGGGGCACAAATTCCAAAACGACTTCATAAATTCTTGGTAACGTATTCCCATAAATTATTGCATTCCTCTATACCTACCAGTGAATTATGAAGTTCACAGGCAATGAAGGCCCAGGGAAGTTCTAAATGTGGTCCTTCTCCTTTAGGTTGTACACGAAATCAGAATATGCATGTCATGGTGAAACTCCATGTGAACACATGCCAGGCAATGTTCCTGGGCCCCGTAAAATAGTGTTACTGTAATACTCTGTTTTGCCTCCTGCCTTGTTTACATTAAACAGGATCATTGGTAGGTTGTTCTATTGAGCATCCTGGAGGTCACTGACAGTGTTAACCAAGGTGTGGCATCTGTGGCTCATCACCAAGAAATGGCAGATGGTGGCTGCGTGCCTACTCTCCCTTCTCGGAAGGACGTTGTGATCAAGTTCAGCTTCTTGTGCTAACAATGCATGCAGGACTATGAGGGATCATCTAAGAATAAATCATGTTAATTTAATCAAAACAAATCTTCTTCTATGTTTGTAGAATTCAAATTGGAAGCACTTTCTCCACTGACACATCGAAAGCATTCATTTTCGCCCCCTTTTTCCCCTCCACCCCCAACACAAAGGTGTCCGGCCATGACGACCGTTGGGACTGTGGCACTGATTGCTTCTGGGGAGAGAACAAGAGGGACTGTGTCGAAATATTTGCGGAGGAGTAGTGGATAGATGGAAAATTTCCTTGGGTGAGCCTGGTGAATACCCCTGACATCACTTCTTCACTCCTGGGCAGAGTGCTTAGAGAAAGGTTAACACAACAAACCCATTCTATAAATATTGTCCTAATATTTTCCTAACTCATAGAAAACTCTTTCTTCCTTACTGACATTTAAGACCACTCGATTCTAGGTTTACTCAATTCATGCGAGTGATTCCCCATGTCCTTCTATCTGGAGACGCAACTGCACAGCACAGCCAGAGAGGGGAAAGACAAGCTAGGACGACAGCCCACGCAGAGATGCCTTATTCAGAGTCTCTTTAGAACAGTGGTTCTCGACCTTCCTAATGCTGCACCCTTTCATACAGTTCCTCATGTTGTGGTGACCCCCCACCCATAACATTATTTCTGTTGCTACTTCATCACTGTCATTTTGCTACTGTTATGAATCGGGTGACCCCTGGGAAGGGGACGCCCGACCCCCAAAGGGGTCACGCCCCGCAGGTTGAGAACCGCTGCTCTAGAAGGACAACTGAAAGACCAGGTTGGCAGGTGCGAGGAGGCGAGGCATGGGGCTGAAGGAAGGGCTGAATGGGACAGGTCCTCACTGCCTGCAGGAGTGCGCCATTGCATCAGCCCCAAACCTGGATGGAATTGCTGTTGGAGAATTGCGGCGTGTGTTTTACCTCAAAATGACTCATTCCCGTTTATCTCGCAGTAACCAGGGCCCCAAAAGCTCAGGGCAAAGAAAGAACTGTGAATCACCTAGAAGGGAGCAACAAAATCAAGTCTCGAATGCGTTGCAATCTTACTCATGAGTGTTAGTAGGCTGGGCAGTCTGAAGCTCTAAGAAAGCCAGTAGGGTAAGAAATGGAAGTGTCCAGTGCCCCGTTGAACTGAGTGCTGAGCTACTTCCTCTCACCTATTTCAGCCTGAGATTGGTGTGAAGCACCAGTCCAAGCGATTGTGCCCGTCACAGCATAGCGACCCTATTGGGACAGGGCACAACAGCCCTGTGAGTCTCTAAGACTGACTCTTCACCAGCATAGAAAGCCTCAACTTTCTCCCAGGGAGCATCTGGCAGTTTCAAACCGCTGTCATTGTTAGCAACGTTTTCCTTACTTGAACTCTCTGTCTTCTTTACCACCACCTGGAACGGGGCACCAAGGGGCTGTATCGTTAGGAAGGAGACAAGCCAGGGGAAGACAGAATCCGCAGGCTGGAGCGGCGGTGGTAGGTGCCATCCAATTGGCTCAGATTCATAGCGACCCCATTCATAGCGATGCACACTCTGGCCTCACCATTGTTAGAGCCCGTGGTTGCAACCACAGCACCAATCCATCCTGTCAAGGGTCTTCCACTTTTTCCGTGACCCTTATCCAGCATGATGTCCTCTCAGGACTGGTCTTTTCCAGTCACGTGATCGAAATAAGGGAGAGACAACTCGCATGACTCACTGTCAGCGAGCATGCAGGCTGTCCTTACGATGTTAAAGAAAACTATCATGCTTTATATAGCTTTATATTATGACCACCTCTTTGGGTTTATCAGACCAGTTGGCATCTTAAGGAAATGACAGGAATTCTTTTTTTAAAAGCACTGACCGAGGTAACAATTCTCTGGATAGAGTGACAACATCAAGGCATGGAAGCAGTATCCACGAGCAGACTGCCAGAAATTTCAAAACTACCATGCGTCTCATCTTCGGAGGTGGAAGAGAAGGGAAAATGTGTTAGCCTGGGTACTTTAGAGAAACAAATCCACAGAAATTCATGTATAAGAATGAGTTTTATATAAAGGGTAAGTGCACATCAAGAAAACATCCCAACCCAGTGCTGCCCAAGTCAAGTCCAACATTAGCCCAGACGTCCAACATCAATCCACAAAGTCCTCCTCCATCTCACAAAACACACACTATGACACCGACTGCAGGAGGAAAGCTGAGTCAATGAATGTGTAAGCATCTCGGCGCTGGCAGGAGTCTCCCCAGGGCTGCATCGGGGTAGGTCCATGCAGCTTTTCCTTGGGGATGTCTTGCAGGAAGTGAGCCTTGCCAGCTGAAGCAGGGAACTGGCTAAGGCAGCGGCACCCTGGCCCGACCATCACAAAGCAAGAGACCGGAGAACTAGAAAGGCAAAGCTCATCGAGCCTTTTATCCCTCTGCCCTTCAATTAACCCCACTTGTGTTTATTGGCCAGTTTGGCACAATAAACTACCTCGGAAAAGAAAGCCCTTTCCAAAAGGGGGTGGGGGAATCAAATTGCCATCAAGTCGATGCCGACTCGGGGACCCTGTCGTACAGGGTAGAACTGCCCCCATGGGTTCCTGAAACTGCCTCTTTAGGGAGTAGAGAGGCCCATTTTTCTCCTGAGGATCGGCTGGCAGTTTCGAAATGCTGACCTTGTGATTAGCAACCCAATGCGTAACCACTATGCCACCAAGGTTCCTGTTTACTCTTTGAGACTCATCATTATATTATGGGTCCAATGTTAGATGTGTTAATTTGCATGGTGATCATTCTAAATTAGTTCTTGAGACTACATAGTAGCGCATTGGCCAATTTAACCATTTCTAAGTGTCCAATTCAGTGACATTGCATTCTTTCAAGTTATTGTCACATTCCATTCACTCTTGCAAAATGTTTCATTCCAATGATAGGATAAAGGGCCTCAGGGAGAATTCTTGATTTAGAGACCAAACACACCGCCTAGTGTAGACCACTTTTTTCCAAAGCCTATTTTTAGGTTGAGTACAAGAACCAGACTCACGCTTTTAGAAGCGCTAGCTGTGGTTGGACAAGTCAAAGGATGAGGAAGGATGCCCACAGCCTAGGAGATTCAGGAATACACGGAAAAAGGCAGCTCCTGCTCTGTTCTTGCCTCAGGCCTGTAATTTATGAGCAAGAAATCACGAAATCAATTTTTCTGTTATGCAAAAAGATGAGCTGGCACACAAATTGTCTCTGTAAAGTTAGATTCCAAGGCCCTGAAGATGAGATTCATTAATGTAATAACATGAGAAATGTATGCTCCATTCCATTCCCAAGTAGAAGAGCTTGGGAGGTTTTAATTGATTACTTCTCCCAAGAGAACCCTGTCACTGAAGATTTCTTGAGGGAAACAAATTGGCCATGCTTCGAACATTAGTCTTCCATGTTTCAAATAGAGTTTTCTCTTCGAATCTTGTCTCCCCTTGCGCTTGGTGACAGTGGGGCACTTTGTAGTTCCAGAATGCCTGCTTCCGTTCTTGGGCTGTCTGCCGGGTTTTTTTTTAGAAAGGATTAGAAAATAGAGAGGTTGTCTCTCACTTGAGCTGCATTGCTAGAGGGATATAACATGCTGCAAAGACAAAGTCGAGTTTAAGCACTTTTATTATACAAAAGAGGCTCCAATCTCAAATATAGTTTAAAGAGAACATTCATTAAGCCTAAAACAAGACAAAGACACATCATCCAGATGAAGGAGACCGTTAGCAAGAGGCCAAAATGGTGTCTGAGGATTTACACTTAGGGAACTAATGAAAAAAGGCGTGGTGGTGGTGGTGGTGGTGGTAGATGCCAACGAGTCTGTTCTGACTCAGTGGCCCTATGCACAGCAGAAGGGAACACTGCCCAGTCCTGCGCCCTCCGCACAATTGTTAAGTTACAGTCCATCGTCGTAGTCACTGTGTCAATCCATCTTGTCAAAGGCCTTCCTCTTTTTCACTGGTCCTCCACTTACCAAGCATGGTATCTATCAGTCTGGGTAGACTAGAGAAACAAATTCATAGGCACCCATGTGTCTAAGAAAGAGCTTTATATAAAGAGTCATTGTGCATTAAGAAAACAGCCCAGTCCAGATCAAGTTCATAAGTCCAATATTAGCCCATATGTCTGATACCAATCTATAATTTCTGCTGCAGAATCATGCAACACATGCCATGATGCCGAATGCAGGAAGCTCACAGGCCAGTGGGTGGAAATCCTGTGGATCCAGTGGCAGTGGAAGCATCTCAATGCTGGCAGGGGTGTCCATGTGGCTCCTCCAGCTCCAGGGCTCTGTCATAGCTCCATGCGTCTTGTTAGCAGGAAGATGAAGCAGTGTAGCTCCATGCGTCTTGTTAGCAGGAAGACAAAGCAGTGAGTCTGTGTCAGCCGTTCTCAACCTGTGGGTTATGACCCCTTTGGGGGGCGAACGACCCTTTCACAAGGATCGCCCGATTCACAACAGTAGCAAAATGACAGTGATGAAGTAGCATCGAAAATAATTTCATGGTTGGGGGGTCACCACCACATGAGGAACTGTATTAAAGGGTCACGGCATGAGAAAGTTTGAGAACCACTGGTCTATGTGTTTTGGGCCTCCAGTGAGCTATTTATCTCTGTGGCACCTCCAAATGAGGTCATTAAGCTGCGACCTGATTGACAGGCTAGACTCCACCCCTTCGCAAGTTGACACCAGATTATGTAACTACCACAGAGTCTTTCTCCATGGACTGGTCTCTCCTCATCACATGATCAAAGTACATGACATGTAGTCTCATCACCCTTGCTTCTTAGGACCATTCTGCCCAGACTTCTAAGACAGCTTTGTGCTTTTAGGGGTCCATAGTACTTTCGATCTTCACCAACACCATCATTCAAATGCACCAATTCTCCTTCAGTCTTCCATTTGCTTTCTTTTTTTTCTAATCATTTTATTGGGGCTCATACCACTCATCACAATCCATATAGACATCAATTCTGTAAAGCACACTTATACGTTTGTTGCCCTCATCATTCTCAAAATTGGCTTTCCACTTGGGTTCCTGGAATT